AGAATTATTGAATACAAGTCTAAAGAACTTATAATTTCATTGTACAGGTCACTGGTTAGACCACATTTTGAATGTCGTGTTCATTTTTGGGCTTCTTATCTTAGGAAAGACATTCAATTGTTGGAAAGGGTTCAGAGAAGGGTTACTAGAATGGTGCCTGGGATGGAGGGATTGTCATATGAGGAGAGGCTGAAATCTCTCAGATTGTTTTCTTTTGAAAAAAAAAAAGATTTAGAGGGGATCTGATTGAGGTGTTTAAGATTGTAAAGGGAATTGATATTGTTGGTGCATCATCTTTTTTCATAGTTAACAGTGAGATTAGCAGGACTATGGGACACAAATATAAATTTGGGCAGGGTAGGAGTCATCTTCAGCTAAGACAGGTTTCATTTTTATAACAGGGTTGTTGGCATTTGGAATAGGTTTCCTTTGGCTGTTATAGAGGCAGTAAATTTAAGTGAGTTTAAGAAAAAGCTTGATAAGTATATGAATGATAAAGGCTAGATTTGAGATTTTTTTATTATTATTTTAATTTAGTTTACAGGATGGGACAACCGAGATGGACCAATAGGTCCCATGTTGTCCCAGAACATTGTTATGTTATCTATTTTTATAATTATAAGCTAACAGTTCTATATTTATACTAACCTATATTCAATACTTCAATCTATTTTACTTTAATAATTTTTCTAATCCCATAGTTTAACAATTTATTCCTTTGAATACTGGTCTGTTTGGGTTCGTGACTTATTATCATAAGTAAGGAAGAAGAAGTTTATTCTCTAGGTATATAATCTAACAGTAATCTTAAAATGATACTTGTAACTTAGGTAACTGATAACTTAGGTTATTTCTTGTAATAGCAATAAATCTCACTTCTGGATTAAAAATTAATTTTTTTAGTTTGTGTACATTGTATCAGTTTTTTTACTGGGTCTTACACAGATCTCACATTTAGATTGAATGTTTCTGTCATGTGTCTTATGTTCATCTAAAAATAAGATTGTTTCAGTTGTATCTCCTTGCTTTTCACTAATCCTATCATTTTTATCTTACATTATGTCCAGTTCTTTTGAACTTAGTACTTCTTCACCTATGTTACTTCCTTTTCTGTTAGAGAGGTTTGTTCGATACACGATATCTTTAACATAGCCCCATAGACATTACTGAATTAAGCAAAAGATAACAGATGCGATTGCAACCATTGATGAGGCTATGTTACAGCGAACATGGCAAGAAATCGAGTACCGTCTTGATGTGCTTCGTGCGACTAATGGTGCCCATATAGAGGTGTATTAAATGACGTAAAAAAACTTTGAAAACCACTGAGTACAATAGAACAAGTCTGATAAAGATATCTTATCAATTGCCTTTGTAATAATTTTTTTAAATTGTAAAAAGACTTTATGGACACCCTGTGCATTAATTTGTAACCTGCCTTGATGACACTCTTTTTTTTTTAAATATCACCAAAACCTTATTAGTGTCATAGTTTCACTAATGTATTGTTTCTCCCATGTTACAAGACAATAAGGTAGCCATTAATTAGGCTTACACTATGAAATATTCAAGTTTTTAAAATATATATATAAAACAAATATAGCAGATTTCTATCATCACTAAAGTCAGATTAACTTAATACCAAGATATTAATGGTAAAGTTTACAAATATAACATGGTGGGTAGGATACTAAGAAAACACTACCTAAATACAAGTTTCACATTTTATTTCACAGTCACTTCATTTTATACCTTATCAAAATATAGTACTTATCAGTTCAGACTTTTTTTTAAATTAATCCAGAAGCTACCTTACTACAAAGGTTAATGTACTTGGTTTAGCCAACAATTATAAAAAACTAAATATTTGTTATTTTCACCATTTTGTAGTAAAATATATGACATAACATTAAAACAATATTTTATGGATTAATTATCTGTTAAACAACTACCCAAAAGCAAACCTTTTATATAGTACATATATTTGATATTTTATTTTATTTACCTTCCAACATTTAAATAATTAACTCTTAATTGTTATATCAAACAGGATAATGAAAGAGTCCCTTGAAACATGGGTCTCTGATTAAATGAAAATAATTTTTTCAAATAATTCTGCTTTTATTGTTGTGTTAGGCATAAAGCCATTTTTATCAATAAGAAAAAGAAATTAATTTTAATATCATAAAAATAAAGAATAGTTAATGTGCAAAAATTAATTTCAACAGTTTTTTTTTGTACAAAATATTAATGAAAAAGGTTAAACCAAGTTGTAGGTAAGTTTTGGATGTAATTTAACTGCTAAATTTTGTATTTTATTTACAAATCTTCCACACTTATAATTTGAAGCTATATCATTACCAATATTTACTTGGTTATAGTGCTGGGGTTGGTAGAACAGGAACTTTTGTGGCCATAGACATGCTTCTACAACAGCTAGATGAAGAAAGTCAAGTAGATGTGTATGGGTGTGTCTGTAACTTGAGGCACTCCCGGAACTTTCTTGTTCAATCTTTGGTAAGCTTTCAAAATAAAAATTAAGATCTTGATTTTGCTTATTGGTGAAGATTTACAATTATATTATGTTTCGTATGATACTAAGAAATCACTTCTTAAATGCAAGTTTCACATGTTATCACTAGGGCTAAATGCTAGGTTTAGGTTAATATGTAAGGATAAGCAGATAGGCTGGTTGGATTTGTGGGATAAATTCAATGAAAGAAGGGAGCTTTTTGAAATGGATGGTTTACATTTAAATAGAATAGGTTCTGGCTTGTTTGCAAGGGCTATTAACTCAACTGTAAGGGAAGTTGTAAATTAGAATTAGACAGTGGTGAGGGCCAGGATAAACTAAATGCAAAAAGAATAAGAGACAGAGAAAGGTTTAGCATAGGGAATGAGCATAGAAGTAGTAATAAGAATAGGCTTAATTGTTACTACTGTAATGCTAGAAGTATAAGAAATAAAATAGATAACTTTAGAGCATTGGTAGGAATGGAGGATTTTGATATGATGGGAATAGCTAAAACATGGTTAAACATAGATGATTTTAATGACAGAAATTTATTTGAAATACAGGGTTACAGGCTATTTAATAGGAATAAAACATTAAAGAGGGAGGGAAGAGTGGCTTTATATATAAATATGAGTTACATCCTGTTGAAGTTGAGGATATCAAAGATAATAGTAAGGAGATTGAATCCATTTGGGTTTTTATTAGTGGATGTAAAGGGAAAAGGCTTTTAGTGGGAATTTGTTACAGACCACCAGATGATAGTGATAAAATTAGTCAGAAACTTTACAATAAGATTAAGATTTCAGCTGTTAATGAGGTCATAATTATGGATGATTTTAGTTTCAGGCATATAGATTGGGAAATGCTAGAATCAAACCATGAGGGAGAAAGGTTTTTGGAAACTGTTCAGGATGGCTTCCTTCACCAATTAGTCAAGGAACCTACTGGAAACAATTTATTTTAGATTTATTGTTAACTTCAAATACAGAAATGATTGAAAGGGTGGAAATTGGAAAACATCTTGGTGCGAGTGATCATTGCCATATCAGGTTCAATGTTTTGCTGCATATGGAGATAAGAAATAAAGATATTTTGGTTACAAATTTCAAAAAAGCTAATTTTGAAACTATGCAACAATAATTATCTGTTGTGAATTGGCAGCTGAGTTTTTTGGAGACACTGATCAAATATAAAAATTTTTAATGATAAATTTTTAAATATTTAAAGTAAACATATTCCTTATAGAAAGAAAAGGATGGCTGCAAGTAAAAACCAGGTTGGATCACAAAGAGTATAAGAGATAAAATTAAAGAAAAGCATTACAAATTTAAGAAGTTTAAATTTACTGGTGTGACAGGAGATTTAGAAGATCAATAAAGTTGGTCAAACAGGAAATTAGGACATCAGAAAGGATTTATGAGAAAAGATTGGCTGAAAATGTAAAAGTTAACAGTAAAGATTTCTTTAAATACATTAAGGCAAAATAAAATGTTAAGATGGGGGTAGGACCCTTGAGAGATGATAAAAGAAGGCTCATATCTGATGATTATAAGTTGGCTGGGTTATTAAATTCTGTTTTTTTCTCAGTTTTTACTAATGAAGATTTAAGCAGTATTCCACATCTTGAACAGTTAGTAAATGGAAACAAGATTGAATAAGATGACTACATTAACTCTGAACTTGTTAAGAAAAAATTGGAAAGTTTCAAGACTAATATAGCTCCTGGGCCAGATAATATTTCCCTAAAGGTTTTGAAAGGAGGTTAAGGATTGGATATGCAAGCCACTTACTACTATTTTTTGTAATTCCTTAAATAGTGGGCAGGTACCAGAAGATTGGAAGTTAGCTAATGTCACTCCTCATTTTAAGGGAGGTGATAAAAATTGTCCCAGTAATTATAGGCCCATTAGTTTTACATCAGTTGTGGGAAAAGTTTTGGAAAATCTGATAAAAGATGTTTTGCAAAGCCAGTTAACAAAATTTAGAATTTTATTGGATAGTTAACATGGTTTTACAAAGGGAAAATCTTACCTTTCAAGTCTTTTGACATTGTTTTAAAAAGTTACTGCTTATGTAGATGAGGGGTAAGGGTGTAGATTTGGTGTATCTGGATTTTCAGAAAGCATTTAATAAGGTGCCACAAGAAAGGCTTGAAAAACAATTATCTCTTTAGGTGTGGGGAATAAGTTAGCAAATTGAATAGAAGAGTGGCTGGATGGAAGAAAGCAAAGGGTAGTTATAAATAGAGCTCAGTCAAACTGTATTAATGTTACAAGTGGGGTACCTCAGGGCTCAGTCTTAGAACCTTTTCTCTTTTTGATTTACATCAGTGACATAAATGAAGGAATGGCCAATAAATTACTCAAATTTGCAGATGTTATTAAGGTCTTGGGTGTTGTTAGCTGTGAAGAGGATGCTGCTGATTTACAAAAGGATTTAGATCATTTAATGAGTTGGGCAAATAGATAGCAAATGGGTTTTAATTATAATAAATGCAAGATAATGCATGTGGTTTATCATGATTTGACTTGTAAATATAAGTTGGATGGAAATAACCTTAACAGTTTTATGAAAGAAAGGGATCATGGTGTAGTGGTTGATCAATCTCTTAAGCCATCCAAGCAGTGTATTGTTGCTAGTGGTAGGGCAAACAGGATTTTAGGTTGTATATACAGAATTATTGAATATAAGTCTAAAGAAATTATAATTTCATTATGCATGTCACTGGTTAGGCCACATTTAGAGTATTTGTTCAGTCTTGGGCTCCTTATTATTATAAAAAATTCAGAGGAGGGTTATTTGAATGATGCCTGGGATGGAGGGGTTGTCATATGAGAATAGGTTGAGATCTCTCAAATTAGTTTCTCTTGAAAAAAAGAAGAGTTTGAGGGGATCTAATTGAGGTGTTTAAGATTGTAAAGGGAATTGATGAAGATGATGCATCAACACCTTTTTTTTTCATACTTAACAGTGAGAATAGTAGGACTAGGGGACAAAATATAAATTTTGGCAGGGTAGGAGTCATCTTCAGTTAAAATAGTTTTATTTTTCTAACAGGGTTAGCCTTTGGAATGAGTTGTTTTTGGATGTTGTGGAGGCAGTAAATTTAAGTGAGTTTAAGAGAAAGCTTTTACTATATGAATGATAAGGGCTGGCTTATTTTTAAAAGTTTTTATTTTGAATTTATTTATTTAATAGTTTTAGTTTAGAGCCAGCCGAGATGAACCAATAGGTCACTTGTTGTCCCAGAATATTATGTTTTATGTTATGTGTTGTAGTCACTTCCTTTTACATATTATAAAAAATGATATTTATAAGTGTTTTTTTTTTAAACAAAATAGTTTAAACAAAGTGTATGGATTTTTTTTCACAATTTTTAAATTCATAATGCAAATGGATGTTTTTGATTGTCAAGAACTTTTTGAGTTATTGATATAACTTTAAGTATGTGTTAAGTGGTTAAACACAAGACAGCAAGTAGGCTAAAATGCAAAAAAAAACAAAAAAAAACTTTTTTGATTAGCTATATTTATATGGCATTTTCTACTAAGAATTATTTTAGTACGGGATTTCCCCCAGCCCTCCCATAGAAGTTACTATTATTTGAGACTGTACGAGAATGTGATAACATTTGTGGGATAGTAGATTTATTTGGTGCCAGATTTCATCTCTAACAGTGGGACATGAATCACGTGATCATGTACAACATTCAATGTACAAATACATTCAAAATGTATATACATCACATTGAATCTTATTTGAGATCATACTAGTCCAATCTGTTTTTACTATTACTTTCTTTTCAATATGTCCCAATAAAAAATGTTTCTAAAATTAGGAAAATTGCTCTCAGGAAAAGCAGGAGAATGCATAAAATTTATTCCAAAACCCAAGAGCTTCCAAGACCCTAGGGTGAGCCCTGGACCCCAGCTATAATAGATGCACCTATGGCACATGTTGGCTCACTTTTCTCACTTTTGATTTGCCTCCTACACCTCTGTGCATGGTATGTTTATATACCATGACAAAACCTTAAAGAAACATGGGAGAGAAAACTAAACTCATGTTTAAAACAATTAAAAGACAAAACTTCGTCAACATTGATTTTTATTTACTTTTAAGAAATACAGATGCAAGAATACCACAGATATATGGAGCACAGAAGATGCATAAGGAACCTTTATCAATGAGATCAATCAATATATGATTGTTTCATTTATGAATTATGTAAATGGTTAGTTTATATCTTAAAACAATACCAAAAAATTGAAAGAGGGAATCCTCAATAACAATGCATTTGAAATTCTTTTAGGCAGAATTAAAAAAATTTATCTATAAGGCCTTTTTTTTTCTTTTTTATTAGGTATATTTTTGTGCACCAGCTATGCCAAGCATGGGGCATATGTATATTTGATTGCATTTTATTACTAATCAGAACCTCTACCAGACTATCCTCAAATTGAAATTATTTTAGACAAGATTACAGTGTGGTCAAATACACCAATTGAAAGGGCTTTACCTCCTGAGTCTAAAACTGTAATTAGATCTCAAATCGGTCAAGAGATGATGGAGCTATGAGCTAAAAGTTTCTAGTTGAAAACCAAACAAACTCAGAGCCATTCAATGAGCTGCCATGCCACAGCTAAAAACTGTCAAAATTGGAAACAATTTTTTTTTAAAAATCCTAATAACAATAGATGTAGCTTTGGTATAGTCAATGTATGCTCAAGTATTTATGAACCAATATTACTTGTAGGCCTTATTAGTGAAAAATTAATTACATTATGGTACAAATTAAGTAAAAACTAAAATATTAACCAAATCAGAATCCAGTATTATAAGATTTCTATCAAAAGTATATAATAATGGAGAGAATGGCAATGGCACAGTGTATAATAGAGAATATAGACTGAAACACCATAGGAAAATAACTAGATGCAAGGAACAAATGTAAATCAACATATGACTGAAAAACAAACACAAAATAAATTTCAACAATGTAAAAATATTGTATGTAGACAACCCACCCCCCAAAAAAAATTGAAAGCATTAAAAATCAAAGAACTAAAACAATATAAATAGATAGAGCTAGTATCATCTTAAATAAGATTATTTAATTGGATGTGTATGTAATTTGAATATATTTGTCCATTGGATGTTGTACGTGATCATATCTCACTGTTCTAAATTAATATATTATCCAACCAATAATTTTTTCAAAAACTTTATATATGTCAAATAGTTAAGTATTAAAAATGGTTGTTATTTGATTTAATTGTTTAAATGAAGTAAGGATTTTCTTTATTAATAGCAAATTTACTACTTTAAAATCACTACCGACTGTGGATTGCACATTTTCATATAAAAAAGTTGAAGTATTTATCTCTGTTCTAAAATAAACTTAAAATATATTTTAAAAACTAGTGTGTTTCGTACTGTAAATCTAATTATTGACTTTACTTCACTATCTTGTGATGTGGTAGAAACAATACATATTTGTCTACCGAGCCTTGCTAGAACATGCTCAGTTTGGAGACACAGAAATGGAGATAAGACATTTCAAGGATCATTATGAACAGCTGAGAGATAAAATGCAAGGTCAGGAGAAATGTCGTCTAGAGCTGGAGTTTGAGGTGGGTTTTAACAGATTCTGTTTTTCTAGAAATGTTAAATATGAGCAAATAAAATATTTTAGATAGATTCGTAACAAACTGTATGTGTAAGTAGATCATCCAAACAAATGTGGTAACTGATAATCATTTAGTGTTGTATGGGAATCGTATGAAGCATATAATTCAACCAGTAAATGCATATTTGTATTCTTCATTTAGTTTCGCCTATCTTTACTATTAAATTTACAATACTTTCAGAAACTTGGAGACGTAATTGAAGATGCTAAAACCTGCTGTGTCGGAACCATGGAGATGAACATGAATAAAAATAGATACAGTTTCATAATCCCATGTATGTCCTCCTTTTATTTTGTAATTTATATTTTCACCAAGTAGATTTCTTTGTCATATTGCTTAATATCATAATGCATATAGTTGTTCCTTCCTGTGTGTGCACTAGTGGTACTTGCATTCGTTATCTTTTTACCAATAATTTCAATTTGTGTACGAACATAAATGAGATTAGTGTAATGGAATATGGGTCTCATGATCCATCATTCATATCCTGTTATCAGTACTGGGGAAAAACAAATGCCACAGTTTGGGACCATGGGTGCATAATAAAGGTGACTGTCAAAACTTAATATTTAGTAAGATATATTTAATCTAAGGGTTGGTAGTTGGTGCTATTAACTAGCTGCCTTCCCTCTAATCTGTGTTCAAAATTAGGGATGACTATCCATTTTGTTTGTTGGTTGTGTTTTTTTTTGTTTTTTTAAGCAAAGCCACATTGGGCTATCTGCTGTGTCCACTGCAGGGAATTAAACCCCATACTTTAGTGTTGTTAAATCCATAGACTTATCAACAGGGGACAGGTATGATTAAATCAAGTAGCTTTGTTCCAATACCTGAAAACAGATAATACATTTTATAGTTTATGGTAATGGTTAGTGATGTGTTTATACTTGTTTTAACTAACTAAACCTCACCATTCAACTCTCATGACAACACCTAGCCTATTGTTGGTGTAAGTAAAGAAACAGAATATTTAATTTCCTTAAGTTACAAACAGAACCAAAATTTAGTGTAGTGATTGTGATAAAAGTCGTTTTTGGCTTTTAAAAAGTACTTAACAGTGATTGTTGTATTTACAAGTTTGGAAATATCTGTGATAAAAGACAATTTTCTCTTATAGATGATATTAACAGAGTAATTCTTCCTCCTACTGCATCTCGAGACCACTCATCCTATATCAATGCTTCATTTATTCAGGTGAGAAAAATGTACTTGTTGTTAAAGGAAATATACACACACACACACACACACACCAACTTTAAGGAGTTACTAGGAGTGAAGCTGACTTATACAAGATGAGTTATTTGGAATTTTAGATTGCTATTTCATAGGACATGCAGTGCCACAAATTAACAAAATATTTTATAAATTTATAAAAGAGAACAATGCATTTAGTCATTGAGTTTTTATTTTATTTTTATTTTAAAGTTAGTTTAGAGGATGGGACAGCCCCCTTGTGTATATGTGTGTATGTATGGGTGTAAAAAGAGTACAAACTGTGATTGTTTTTTGGGTAAAAAGTGTAATGAAATATCACAAGAAAAGTCATGGTAATTTTAACAACTTTCATTATCAAATTATTTACCTCAACAAACTAGGTTGGTTGCAGCAATCTAAGTTAAAATGCTATTTATAAGCATCATCATTTATGATTCCAGTAAATAATAAAGGATCAAAAAATAGATAAATCACAAAAATAAAAACCTGAAAAACTAAGCACTTTCAGAAGACAGGTCTACCTTTCAGAAGTAATTAGGTTTCTGATATCCTTGTTTTGTTGTACATCATCAATTACAAGGCATCAAGTTTTACACTGTAGAAAAACCTAAACTATTATAGCATGATCCCTTTAATAAATGATAAACTATCACAATAAAACTGATAAAATACAATTATGAATTGTAGTGTAACTGCTATATTGTACAACAGTTTTAACACGATATTTTATCCTATCTGGTTCTCTAAAAGTAACCATATATTGCCAGCTTGGATGTTGTACACCTTAAATATGAGTATCTTTCGAATAAATTAACCAAAAATCTATTGATAGAGTAGCTTCATGCTAAGCAACTTTTCTTTGCAGGGTTATGACCGCTCTCTCTCCTTCATTATTACCCAAGACCCTTTAGAGAACACAATGCTAGAGTTCTGGAGGATGATAAAGGAACAATCTGTTACAACTGTAGTGATGTTATCCGAGCTTGGAGCAGGGCAGGTATGTGTACAGGTGTCTTACTTTTAAATTATATGAAAGGACATTTAACATTCATAACAGTAGCATGGAAACAAATAGTAAATAAGTTAATCATTTAATGTAATACCTTTAGTTACTAAGATATTTCAATGTTTAACCTATATTATTAGTTTTCTAATATTTCTAACAAAATTGTCAGAGATACCACTACAAAAAATATGAAGAATTTTTATATGTATGTTATTAACATAAAGTTCAATTTTTTTAATGTAAAATTTACTAGTGTTATATTTATTATACTTTTATGCTTTGTTACATTATTGAAGAGTAGCAACAACAAACTTAATGCAAGTACTGATTCAGTTGAACTAGTTCTAAAAAAATAAAATACAAATTTCAGTATCATTATTTGATATTAAAATTATATTCAAATCAGTTAGGTTCATTTAAAATATGTATATGTGTGTATATATATTTATTTATTTATTTTGTAGACCAAATGTCAGCAGTATTGGCCAGGAGAAGAAGAAAAAGAGTATGATTACATCAAAGTTAAGTTTCAGAATGAGGAGACAAGAGAATCCATTACCAAAAGAGAATTTCAAGTCATTAACACAAAGGTAATTTTTATTAATAACACAATTTGCTCTGACAAGCATCACTGAGGTTCACCAAAGATACTTGCAGGTAAATTCTTAACATATGATTAATATGTGATGTTCATTATTCAATACATAAGCCTTCAATACAGAAACATATTAAAAGCCTTTACTTGTTATGACTATAGCATTTAATCTACATTGCTAAACTTAAAAAGCAAAAGCTATGTATGACAAGTTTTAGCTTGTAACAAAGAACTTAGCTAACCATACTGAGGTAATGTTGCTAGCAACATGAACATATACTTCAAAATGAAATATTATCATAAAAGTTAACATTTAAAACAAATAAAATCTAATCAGCTGATGAATAACCATGTCATGATTATGGAATTACATTTACTAAAATGTAGTTGCATATATAACATAAACTTCTTTGGCTTTAAAATCTTGAGTTCATTACACTAAGTATATCTAAACTTCTAAATGGAGTTCTTTGGAATTAAATGTCAAAAATAAGGGTATGGAAGATGAACACTATTATTTTGGTGCAGATGTGAAAAGAAAACTGATTTGTATTTGCTTAAAAGCCCTCTTATACTTTATGGTTTGTTTAATCCTCATTGTTTTATAAATTATTATTGTATTTATTATAACCAGTTTCCCTTAAAGCATCTGGAAAAATACCAATGATACTAAAACAGTCTGCTGGCTAATACTATACACCTGGAAAAAAGTTAAGCACCCCCAAATATTTTTCAGGATTGCTTATTGAAAATAAGGTTTAATTTTCATGATGTTGAGCAATG